AAGCCGGAGAACCCGGAGAGAACCCACGCTGCACGGGGAGAACATGGAGACTCCACGCAGGAAGATCCCGGGTGTCCTCACCGGGACGCCAACCGGCGACCTTCTAGCTGTGAGGCCACGGTGCTAACCACTGAGACACCCACCTTTCAGAATTATTGCACGTTTTATGAACGTTAACAGTCGTGTGATCCAAACTCCGACCAGCTGGTGGCGGTAGTGATGCAGCAGTTTGTTCACCGACCGCTAATGAGTTACGAAGAAGAAGCAGCAGAAGAAGAAGAAGAAGAAGAAGAAGAAGAAGAAGAAGAAGCATAAGCATCACCGGGCGGAGCGTCGCTGTGTTCCGGGACTCAAAGCTCAGAAACCTCCGACAGATTGGAGCCAGACTCCGGACTGAACGCCGCTGGGAGAGCCGCAGAGGAGCGCCGGGCAGCCGGAGCTGTATGGCGGCGGCCGTTTCTGCGGTACGAACCTGAACTTACTGTGAGGGAAACATGCTAAGCTAATGTTAACAGCCGGAACCGGACAGTCCTGAAGCTGCTTTTCTGTCAGAAAATCATCTTCAAGCCACAAACAGCCCGAATATCGATCAGACGGATCGATCGATCAGAACCCAGCCGAACATTTGAGTCAGGTCGATGCTGCACACTGAGAGCAGCTGAGCTAATGCTAACAGCTCAGAAGTTCTGGACGGTTCTGCTAACTGATGCTAAGCTAACTGTGCAGGTGGAACACCTGATGGACCTTCAGGACCGATCAGAATGGAAATGATCAGATCAATACACTTGATTGTTTAAGGATGATTGATCAGATCTGACTTTAAGTCACAGAACCAGCACAAAGACACAAACTGGACTTTATTTGCTTCACATGTGGAGACAGACAGATGAACACATGCATTTCTCATTAAACTGATAATTCATACAAGAAGAGACATACATGCAAGATTTCACTTTATTCGTTCATTGAATGAAACGTCCTGATTGGATGCCAGGACGGTGCTCCTGCTGCCTCCGGGTCCAGGCAGGTCCAGGCCTCCTGCCTGAGCCCGGTTCTGTCCTTCCTTTGCTGACTGCTCACAGACGGCTCATGTGAAGCGCTGCTGCGTGAATACATGAGCTGAAAGTAAAGATGTAAGTTTTACTGAAGCTGAGAAACACGAATATCATGAGTTGGTGCTGCAAAAGCAAAGAGTTTGTATTTTCTCTCTGTGACAAAATCAGTTACAACAACTAAGATCAGTGTCACATGATGATGTGAAGTTAATCAGAAAAGATTGAACAGTCACTGTTTTCACAGCCCAGCTACACACACACACACACACACACACACATTGTTGTAATCAGCAGCTGTGATGTCAGACTCCTGAGGGTGTGTCTGTTTTGTTCACTTGCTGCTGGCGCTAACAGAGAGGGCCGGCTCTCATCATGGAGAACGGACAGAGCACCACCACCAAGCTGGGCCTGCCGCCGCTCACCCCCAACCAGCAGGAGGCGCTGCAGAAGGTAACACACATCCTGCTGGCTGCACAGTGTGGGACCATAGACTGTATAACAGATGGACGTAGCAACCGGCCCTGAAAATGAAGCCAACCTGAAGTGTCAGAAACCTGCAGCATCACTACGTCCACTAGCTGCTGGCTCCACAAAGCCCTGGCTCCCATAGACTGGAACTGGAA